CCCCGGATTAATACCCCCCTCTTCATTAATATGGGGGTGTCCCTGGTTTTAGGGGGAATCATGACTTTTGGAGGGGAACACCCCCCGTAGAAACAAACCGGGGTTCATCAATCCGGGGTCATTACTTGAACAGCACAGGATCAACGAGCGGCAGCTGCCTTCAGGACGCCGCTCTCGTTCTCGAAGACGCTGAGCCGAGATGCTGCGAGTGGGTCGATGCGGGAAGGGGTTCACACAGTGAGCCATTCTCACACGCGAGGTGCAAACACCTGTTGACTTGGCAAACTTCTGACCTTTGCTTCTTGTTCTTCCGATGTCATCATCATCATAGTCTATGTCCCCCCAGAAAAGGCAGAAAGTAGTTTGTTTATTTCGGCCAGTGATCTACTTTTGGTTGGGTGGTGTCACCAGCTCTTTTTGTCAAGGCCCCAAAGGTTCAAACTGTTCCCGGCCAGCCAACTGGGCAGATCAGTTTGGCTTCAGCATTGCCTTGGAGGCCGCTGGTGCGGCCAACGAACCAAGAAGCCCACGGGCTTGCATGACGCCCAGGAAAACGGATTGGAGCAAGTCGAGTTCGAAAGGACCACATGGCAGGAGTTCTATGGAATCTGGTTGGCCTTTTGACCCTCTTGTGGGAAAGCAAAGGGGCCCTCTAGTGCGAACAGCCTCTTTAAGGGGGGGGCCCTTTAATTCCTACAAAAGGGTCAATTGGCCAAGCCCTGTTTCCATCCTTTTCAGCTCTTTGTTTGCTCTCGACGGCTCTGTGTCCTTGTTTTGGTACGGGCGGGCCCTTGAGAGACACAGCCTGCCGAAAGCTGCGGAAAAGGGCATGCATTGCCTTTGCGTGGGCAAATGGGCAGCAGCGCCCAAAGCACCCATGCGCCACTTGGGTCAGTGCTTCTGCTACCTGGCTTCATGTTGGTTTTCGTAAGGCCGAAGTAGCAAGTGGACGTATGACCTCTGATCGCCGCAAGAGGATGATTGATTTCTTACGGTTGTGCCAAGGATTGGACATGAAGTGCTGTTTGCAACCTGACAAAATAGGAAGTTCTCAAAACCCGTTCCAAGAGCCTCTTCTACGGTTCTAGGAACCTTTCGTTGGAGCTGAGTGGCTTTGGTTCGCCTCGAGGCAAAGCCTGGCATGATGACATGGGACCATTCGGCTCACAGAATCCCACTAGACAGTTCAGCAGCCCCCTTCCAACTTCTCACGTTTCCCTGCAAGAGTACAAGGGCTCAGTCGAGCCATGGTGGCTCCGTCTCTGTCATTTCTGTAGGACCGACTTGAGTTGCAAGTTCGCTCGCGATTGGCTCGCAGCAGAGTATCCACAGAGGCAGTTCAGGACGAACTGGAGACATGATCCTGGGCACGTCGTTTTGGTGCTCACGGCGGATCAACAGCTATTCGCGACAGGAAAGCCACGCCTGCCTGTTGAATGCGGCTGCCCAAGACCCGATACCAGCCCCGAGACACCTCGCCACCTGGTTTCATCGGACCCGCGGCGATGCTGTTCCGGGGACGGTTTTTGCTCCCGCGCCCGGCTCGCGCGGGGTGCCCCAAACTCTTTGCCAGGGGGTCGAAAGCCGCGGTCAGGTGCCCAGTCAGTCCATCAGTCAGTCAGTCGGTCGGTCAGTTCGTGTTTTGAAGGGGTTCCCCATTCAAGTCCAACGAGCAACAATTTCCCGTGGCCACCGGGCAACTGGGAGGTTGTGGTGCGCCTTTTCCGGATTCTTTGGAGCCCAAACCTGTTTTGGTTGAGCC